CTGATAAGAATGCGGAGGTCAAGCCATTGAGGGAGCAATGCCTCAATATCGCTGATGACGCCATCATTAGGGCTAAGGGAGAGTTGATGCTGGAGTACAAGGCCAGGAACATCTCCTATTGGAACCTGAATAAGGACATCCAACTTATGCGGGAGATGGAAGGGGAGGCGGCTGTTGGCCGCGTAGAGGAGCAGGTCGATGATCAGATATTCGACCTTGCTAGCCAGTCGGGATGATCGGTCACTGAGAAAGTAGGTGACCAGGCTACGGGGGCTAGCGCTGGGGTCAGTGATAGGGTGACTAAGTCGGAGATGGGTGAGACGACTCGCACCGATGATGTGGGCCATGATACCCCTTAGGTTTATTTTTATTCATGTATTTTGGGGCCTGCGATGCCCTTCCATGGCGTGTGTGCCTTCTTTTTGTACTTGATGCTTAGCCGTTTGAGGCTTTTTTATCTTATACTTAGGCGTCAGTGGCTTTTGTGTTTCTACTTGTGTTTCTATTTTGCTACTTTCCTTGTGGATGGATGATTTGGTTGCTTGATTGTTTGTAGATATATTAGGGGTTGAACCGACTGCTTGTGCTATGATTTTGACGAGGCCAAGTGGCTAGGTCGTCAGTGTCGTGGCAATATGTCGGTATGATCGGCCGAATGTTTAAGCCGTTGGGCTGCTAGGTCGGTCTAGACTGTCTAGTGGGTTGGGTCGATGACTTGTCGATTGGAGGTGTAAGTCCTTCAATCGGGCTGGGCCGATTGAAGGTGTAAATCTATAAATCGATTTGAACCGATTGAAGGTGTAAATCTATAAATCGGTTTGGGCCGATTGAAGGTGTGAATTAATAAATCGGTCTGGACCAATTGAAGGTGTAAATTAACAAATCGATATGGGCCGATTAGAGGTGTAAATCTATAAATTAGTCTAGGCCGATTGAAGGTGTGAATCAATAAATCAATCTAGGCTGATTGAAGGTGTAAATCAATAAATCGGTTTTGGCCGATTAAAGGTGTAAATCTATAAATCGGTCTAGGCTGATTGAAGGTATAAACTTATTAATCGGTCTAGGCCAATTGAAGGTGTAAATCTATAAATCAGTCTGGGCCGATTGAAGGTGTAAATTGTTCTATTGTTGAATAGTACTTTTATTGAATTCGGGTCATGAGGCCGACTGACGATGAAGGAGGTGGATAGGCCCACTCTTCCTTTTAAAAACAGAAACAAGAAAGCAGAAATGTCGATGAAATAGTTAGACTAAAAGTAGTAACGTTTGAGATGGACTGCATTCCAACTGTTGCTAATGTCTTTGCCTTCAGGGGTTTGGTGTTGGCAGGCGCCCTTCCCTACTTCCTTGGCGATTTTGTAGGAACCCTCCCAGGTGGGGTCGAGCTTGCCAGAGTTGACCTCCCTAGTGTTTTAAAAGACCTTATGGAAGACCTAATCACCTCTTTTGAAAGTTTTGATTCGGACGTTACGATTGTAGTGTTGGGCAACTTGCTACAGATAGACTACATTGCGGATGTTCTCCCGCTCGTGCAGTTCGTTGACGATGTCCAAGTTGTGGCAAAGGTTCTGGCTGTTGGTTTCCTCGTCCGTCTATTAGAGTCTGGTAGAAGGGACTGATACTTCGGTTGGGATGACTACTTCAGATCCATATGTGAGGGAGAAAGGAGTTTCGCCCGTGGATGAACAGGCTGTGGTTCGGTAAGACCAGAAGACCCCAGGTAGTTCATCTGCCCATGCACCCTTGGCTTTCTGTAGGCGCTTGAAGTATGCATGATGGTTTTGTTCGATGCTTCGACTTGGTCGTTGGATTAGGGGTTGCGATAGGTAAAGAAGCTAAGCTTTATCTCCCACATGTCGCAGAAGTCTCTGAAGCCTGAACTGATGAATTGGGATCGATTGTCGGCGACGATTTTCTTTGGTATCCCAAATCTGCAGATGACGTGTTTCCAGATGAAAGCTTTTACCTCTCGGTCTCTAACTTGTGCGAGTGCTTCGACTTCGATCCACTTAGTGAAGTAGTCGATGACCGCCAACATGAAGACCTGTTGCCTGGGCGCGGTCGGGAGTTTTTCGACTATATCCATTCCTCACTTCATGAACAACCAAGGTGTGAGAGTAGAGTTGAGTTGTTCGGGTGGGAAGTGTGAGACGTGGGTGAACCTCTGATAGCTGTCGCATTTCTTTACATAGGTTGCTGAGTCAATGCGTATGGTTGGCCAATAGCAGCCAACAGCAATCACCTGATGGGCAAGACTGCGTCCTCCTACATGGTTTCCACATTCGCCTTTATGGAGTTTGGCGAGAACCCATTTGGCTTCTTCCGGGCTTATGCCCTTAAGGTAGGGGCCAGAGAACGACTTCCTAAGGAGCTAGCCTTCGTATATGGTGAACCTTGCGACTTTCGCTCTCAGGCGGTATGCTTCACTCTTATCAGCTGGGAGCTCATTATGTTCGAAGTATTTTATTATTGGGGTCATCCAGAAGTCAGCCGGTTTGATGTCCATTACTTCTTCGGGCGACTTGTTTGTTGGGTGTTCCTTCTAGTCGGTCGACCATTGGAGGAACAGCAGGGGGATGGATGACTGGGAGGAACCTTGAATGACTGAGCCGAGGTTGGTAAGGGCGTCAACATGGGTGTTCTCCGCTCTTGGGACTTAGGTGATGGAGAATTCTTCGAAGGCGGCTTGCAATTCTTTTACCAAGTTTAAGTAGGTTGTCATCTTCGAGTCGCGGGCTTGGTAAGTGCCTTGTAGCTGGTTGACCACGAGTTAGGAGTCAGACTTTACCTCCAACTTCCTTACTCCGATTTCTTTGGCTAGGGAGAGTCCCGCAATGAGAGCCTCATATTCAGCTTCGTTGTTGGTGCACTTGAACCCACATCGTATGGCCCGTTGGATGACATCTCCTTCTGGTGTAATAAGTACGACACCGAGCCCGCTTCCATTCACGTTGCTTGAGTCATCCACTAAGAGAGTCCACTTTGAAGGTGATCTGCTATTCATGCACAATAACTCTTTTTCTGCTTGGACGGTGGTGTTCGGGGTGAAATCAGCAATAAAGTCTGCAAGTGCTTAGGATTTGATGGCAGTGCGTGGTTCGAAAGATATGTCGAACTCATTAAGTTCTACTGTCCATTGTGTGAGTCGGCCTGATAACTTTGGCTTATGTAGTGGTATTGAAAGTATGGTCTCAGCTTCCTGGATGCATGAACAAGGGCGAGTGTCAGTTTCTCTAGCTGATTGTATCGTGTCTTCGCGTCGAGGAGTGATTTGCTTACATAGTAAACCCGTAGTTGCTTCGTATTATCTTCCCGAACTAACACTACTGAGATTGTTGTCTCTAAGACCGCCAAGTGGGTGTAAAGCTTTTCCCCATCCACAGGCTTGGAAAGGAGTGGAAGGGAGGTTAGGTATCTCTTTAGCTGTTGCAAGGCTTCCACGTAGGTGGGGGTTCATTCAAACTTCTTAGATTTCTTGAGTGTGAGGAAGAAATTGTGGCACTTGTCGACGGATCTGGAGATGAAGCGGCTCAAGCCGGCTACTCGTCCTGCTAGGCGTTGGACATCTTTAATGTAGGTTGGAGATGGTATGTTGAGGATCGCTAGGATTTGGTTAAGGTTGGCTTATATCCCACGCTGAGTTACCATGTATCCCAAGAATTTCCTTGATGAGGCTCCGAACAAACATTTGACGGGATTCAGCTTCATGTTATACTTCCTTAGGACGGTGAATGCTTGGCTGAGTGGTCAAGGTGCTGCTCGGCCATGAGGGAATTGACGAGCATGTAATCGATGTACACTTCCATGGTGTCCCCAAGGTGTTTGGCAAACATTCTGTTGACTAGCCACTGATAGGTAGCCCCGATATTCTTGAGACCAAACGACATCACCTTGTAACAGTAGGTCCCCCTCTATATGATCAAGGTTGTTTTCTCCTGGTCGTTCAGGTTCATCAAAATCTGGTTGTACCCTGAGAAGACATCCATGAAGCTTAGGAGTTCGTGGTCTGCTGTCGTATCGACCATCATGTCGATATGTGGGAACGGGAAGGAGTCTTATGGCATGCTTTGTTTAAATCCGTGAAGTTTATGCAGACCTTCCAATTTTCGTTCTTTTTCTTCATGACCACAACGTTTGCCAGCTAGTAAGATAGTGGACTTCTTTGATTAGCCCATTATTCAGTAATTTGTCAATCTCCTCATTGACGATCCGGTTGCGCTCTGGTACGAATTTCCTATTCCTCTGCTTCACTAGAGAGTGATCTGGATCTACTTGGAGGTGGTGGACGATTGCCTCTAGGCTGACTCCTGTCATATATGCATAGGACTAGGCGAAGCAATCCTATTTTTGTTTGAGGAATTCTATGAGTCGCTCTCTTATTTCGGGCTCGAGGCAAGAGCCTATCTGGGTCTTCCTTTTCCTTTCGAGGTCGTCCAGGTGTATTTGTACTTCATCCAACTCTTCCATGGATGATTGATCTGGCTTGGTCGGAGAGGTTGGATGAGACTGTAGTTGCTATGAAGCATGACCTTTGTTTTTGAAGGCGTTTTTGTAGCAATCTCTAGAAGACTTAAGATCGCCCTTGATTTCTCTTACTCCTTATTTCGTTGGAAACCTTATGGTTTTGTGGAAGGTGGATAGAACAACTCGCATGTCGTGGATCCAAGGTCGGCCCAAGATGACGTTGTATGGTGAAGGACAATTGAGCACTAGAAAAATGGTTTGTTTGTTGACTCTGTTGGTCTAAACAAGTAGAACAATTTCTCCGATGGTGTACTTTTGCTCGGAACTAAACCTAACCAGTATGGTTAGTCGTCTGCTGATGTTTGTTTCATCTAGTCCCATGGTCGTCACTACTTCAAGGAAGAAATTGTTTGTCGAGGATCCCCCGTTTATGAATACTCTCTTGACCAGGATGTTAGCGATCTAGAGGGAGACTACCAGAGCATCGTGATGAGGGGTGGCTAGGGTGACTGGCTCGTTATCTTCAAACTGAATTACCTGGTTGGTGTGCGACCAAAAGGGTGGATGGATGGATTGGACTTCAAGGTGATGGTTGGCTCATAGCGCTTGGCCGAGGAGTAGCTTACCCCACTGATCTCTGACCCTCCAGAGATAATTGAGAAGAACCCCTTTGGTGTAGGTTCTCGTGGAGGAGGAGATGCTTCTTTCGAGGTTCTCTGGCTGACTGTATTCTTCCCTTTATTCATCAATAGATCTCGAAGATGTCCCCTCTTTAGTAGTGCTGCGACTTCCAACCGTAGGGCGATGCAATCCGCAGTGTTATGACTATGGTCACCGTGGAATTCGCACCACTTGGTCGTGTCCCTCCTCACTTCGGGATTGAGCTTATTCGGCCACTTAATGGTAGGTCCCATCCCTTTCATGATTGTCATGACCTGGGCTGGTTCGACATTAAGGTTGTACTCTGGAACTTTGTATTGGTTCGATTTGGATGGTCTGTTGTCAGATCTAATTAGCTGGCAGTCATATGGTTTTTTGACTTTGTTCAGATTGCGTGGAGGAGGTTGGTAACGGGGCTCAATCGATCTGGACTCTAACCTTCTATCATTCTGCCTTTGGTGACGGTTGTCGTACCTGGCATGCTTCATCCGGTTCATCTCATCTTCCTCCCACCTTATTTGAATCACAGCTCTGGCTAGGGCGTCTTTCATCGTGGAGCAGCCGAGCTTCGGCAGGTCTTTGTATAGTTCTCCATCTAGGAATAAACTCTTTCTGAAGGCGTCTACTGCTGTCTCTAGGTTGCAGGAGGGGATGGAGATTTTTTCTTTGTTGAATCTGCTGACGTATTCTTTTAGTGGCTCTCTCTTCTTCTGGTAAACTCTGTACAGGTCGGCCGATAGCTTCTCGAGTTTCTTGCTGTTGGTGAATTGTTCAACGAAGGCGTCAGTGAGCTGGGCGAATGAGTTGATTTAATTGTTTGGGAGGTTAGTGTACCACTAAAGAGTTGGGCCAGAGAGGCTTGAACCAAAACTCTTACACATGTAGGCTTCTCTCAATGTTCGGAGTATCGAGACGACAAACATCTGCTACTTGTAAGAGGCTATGTGGTCATCTAGGTCGGTTGTGCCATCGTAGGGCTTCATGTTGGGGATGGTGAATTTGTGTGGCATCTCGGCTAGCGCGATTGCATCCACGAAGGGTGAATCGACATAGCAGTAAGGTTGGCTCTTTTTTGTTAGGATTGGCATTCCTGGTATGCGCCTCATCACTGCCTTTATGTCGGCCAGTCTCTTGGCCAATATTTGCTCCATGGGAGAGGCGGACACCACTAGGTCATCCTGATTGACTCGGTTAGCCACATGATTCACACTTGGTGCGTTTTGTTGGGTCAACCCACATAGTGTAGCCTGACGGATCATTCCGTCGTGTGCCGCTTGGTAGCCTGGATCCCCATTCATTCCCTCCGGTTAAGTGACTTCCATTGTGACCGATCAGGTGTTTTGCCCCACATGGATTGTAAGAGGGGTTATTTAGGATTCGCTCGGTCCGTTGGGATGGATGGACAGCGGGATGGTTTGAAGGAGTGGGAAACCGCTCGACCCGTGAGGGTGAGCCGAGTTGAGTGGGGTTCGAGTAGGGATGGTTGATTGAAGGTGGGACAGGATGGCGAGGATGGGTGGCTCTTGTTGTAACGGGTTTTCTATCACTTGGACGCCTTGATCTCACGCTTGAAGTAGATCGACCGAGAGTGGTTCTATCGACAGACCCCGTTCACTATGAGTCAGGGCTGAATCGTCAACTAATGACGAATATAGTTGGCGTGACCTTGTATCTGAGATCGTTGGTCTGTGCTTTGAAGTTTGGAGAGGTTGCATAGACGAAACTGAGGTGCGGAACCGATTAGGTTGTACCGACAAGGCAGAAGCTCAAGATCATAAAACTGACTTACCTTCTCTTTTAGAAACTGGTTTTCGGCTCTGATGGAGGGGTTTTCGGCTCTGATGGAGGGGTTTTCGGTCCGGATGGCAGTGTTTTCAGCTTCCAGTGCGGCCACCTTGTTTGAGTGTTGTTGCATGAGGGCGGTTAGAGCCACCAATTTGGTCTTGAGGCCAGGATTAGCGTTATCAGAATTTTTAGCCATAGAGAGTTTCTTTACGTAACAGGGTTTGTGAGACGAATGATTGCCAGAGGCCCTACGGTGGGCGCCAAACTGTAGATGCAAAAATCTACCTTTATGGAAAAAATGATTGATCCCGTGAGGTTAAGACCACTAGCGATTTGCTACACCTGCACACGCAAGAAAACAAGCGTGAAGCGAACGAAAAACACCGGGATAGTGTTTGCCATAGGCACTCTGACGCTCAAGTCAGCAAGGCTGAATAAGGCTAGTTTAGTGAGGGTTAGAGAGAGGAAAAGTTACCAGAAGTCTAATCGGAGACTATAACTACAGCTGTACTGCGAAGTTCTCAAGAGTGGGAACTCCAAGGTCTAAAGGTGTAATGTTACTATCCTTTGTGAGAGGGCTGACCTCTGTTTAAATAGTGACTGGAGGGTCTTCGAATCCTGGTGGGATTGGGAGTCCTTATAGCGATGGTTTTTCGAAAGAGTGGAGCATTTGGCTCCTTTATCTCAGTAGGAAAAGGAGTCCCAGCGTGCCTAGGATACGGACCTTAGATGCATCAGGATAGTGATTGACTTCTTTAGTAAAATTCAAGTAGTAATATAGTTCGTAGGCGACTCTAGGCTCCAAATTGATCGTAAGTCCAGAAGGTGTTATAGGATCAGAAGGCCTGGGTTCAGATAAGCTAGCAGTGAGGCCTAAACAAGTCGGGCCTCTGCTGATTGGGTCCAAATGGTGAGCAACTTGAAAAGCGTATCGGACAGGCCTCATCTGCGGAACTCTGTCGTGGGCCCAATCGGAACTGGGCCGTAGCTTCCAGCTTTGTTGAAGGTGTCTTCATCTTTGGGCCGAGGACATTTTTTGGCCCTAACAATTCTTCTTAGGTTTCAACCATCATTTTTGCAAGATCTCCGATCCCTTTCAATCCCATAAATTTGATAGTAGAGTGTATATTCAAAATGTAAACATCAAGTTAAGAATCAAGTGTCATAACTTGTAAGTCAGAAAAATCTTTCGGATAAAGTTTGACAAGACACATCAATTTTTGTTTATCAAAAGCAACAAATGATTCATTTGGATATAAACATGTCAAACAAATAAACAATTCAGTGTTTACCTTATTAAAACGATTATTCAACTCTTGCAGCTGCATATCTAGGACAATATAAAAAGATGGGTAAAATTTGTGATCCTAATGGCAATCTCATCTTCCTAAATCATAATCTATAATTTGACCTTAAAATTTTAAAATAAAAGAATAAAAAATAAAATGTATTAGTATTACTTGACAAATTGAAGAAAAACTAGGCTTGTCGGCTTGATAGATGGGAGAGAACTGCATTTGTGTGAATAAAGAATTAGAATTTAGGAAAAAATTTGAAATGTAAGTTGTTGAATTAGTTATGGGCAATAGAGAAAGACCGGTCTTGGAAGTAGAGAAAAAGAGGTTTAGTTTTGACAGTACAAACAGAAAAATGGGAGTATAACTTGAAGTTATTTTATAATTTATTTTTCAGTTAGGGGCAAATTTGTAAAACTAAGACCCAAGGTGCAATACTGGAATGTACATTGACATTATTTTCTTCACGCACGTTGGTTTAGATGAAAATTCTCCATACCTGATCTATAAACTATAGTTTACGACTCCAAAATCAAAATAAAAATGTTCCTCTCCACCCCACAAATAAAAATAATTGAAATGCACATGCCCAGCTTTAATTGCATGCAAATCTTTGTTATTTGAAAATAATATATATATATATTTTTTAATATTAAGAAGACCTGTTAAAGTCTTAAAGCGCATCCTTAGCCTTGAATATATGCCCAGATGCGACAAGGATAAAAGTATGCATGCGATTGAAACAATAATTCGAAAGTAATTTTGTGATATTGTGAGATCGATGTTTATTAACATTTCATTTTTAGTTTCACTAATAATATTCAACTGGTGTTTCAGGACAACTTTCATCTGATACAACTTCTCTACTAAAGGGTGGGGGAACAAATGGTGGGGGTGTACATCTCAACAATGCCCAATTCACCCCCTGAAAAAAAGGATGGTGCTTGATTGCCGACGCACCCTTAGTAGATCCTAACCGCCTTGCTGGATCCTTAATCAACAGTTGTTGAATCAGGTCCTTGGCAGCAGCTGGCATGGCGGGTTCCTTAGGAAACTCAAGGGCTCGGGCCACAATATTAGCTAGGGTTAGCTCATGGTCTACACCCCTAAAGGGTGTCACCCCATAAAATAGTTCAAATATGAATATCCCTAACGTCCACCAATCCACTGGACTCCCATGCCCCTCGCCAGAAACAATCTCCGGCGCCAAATACTCATGGGTCCCAACGAACGACATGGACCGCACATCAATAGGTTCAGCTACAAATTCAGGCCCACCTTGGTGAGCCGACTTCTTTTTCCGTTTGCGTTTTGGGTGGAAGCATGATACAGCCGGGACTATACAATTTGGAAGAATGCATGAAGAAGATGTGAAAGGAGGATGATCAACAGGATAGTCATTTTGTGGGGCCGAAAGTGGAGGGTTTTGATTAGAAATGATTTGAGCCTTTGATGTAGAATCATCACATTTCAATGAGAGATCAAAATCTGTGAGCATGATGTGGCCATCTGATCGAACGAGCACGTTTTCGGGTTTAAGATCACGGTAAACAATCCCCAGCATGTGAAGGTACTCTAGAGCTACTACCACTTCTGATGCATAGAATCTGGAGACACAAGGACATGAAACTTTAAATATTTAATTAAATATTTCAACAAACTAAAATTAATTAATAATTATGAAGAAGTACTCTAAGATCAATATATAGCTAACCAAAAGTAATTGAGATGTCAACAGAGTCTATTCGGACCTACTAGTTTGTTATTGAGAGCAGGAGACCTGAATTCATGATTTTTATATCATGGAAAGATGTCAAAAGACAATAAATTATTTTGCTTCGAGTTCCTACCACCTAATGCATGCAACAAGAGGACCTACATGTCTCTTCTTTAAAAGCTTATATCGAGATTTATTGTCCCTTCATATCTTCCTATACAAACACTCAATATATTTCTCTCAAGCGGCGAGAAGTTAAGTAGTTAAAAATTTTCTTCATTTGTGTGCTGGAAGAGTATTCAATTCTCCCTATTATTTAGTGTGCCCCACAAGTATGTGAAAACCATGAAATGATTACGTTCCCAATAGAAGACTTGAAATATATAATTTATGCAATATTTATATGTATCTAAAATTTATGGGAAGATCTTATACCAATAGTGGAGATGCAATGCGGGTTTCGTCATTGCCCCTAGAAAAATTAAAAGCAATATATATCTAAAGATCAACACTTGAAAACAGTGTCTTTGACCTCGCAAACGATATTATGAGGCACTAACTAATCAATTAAATTTGACAAATAATAACTATGCCACATATAAATGGAATACATAACTCTGTTCAAACATGAAGATAGGTGTAACGTTATATTAATTATTGTATTCATTAACTACTTTCATTAATAATATTATGAGCATTAATTGTAGTTAGTTGTAAACTTAAAGCTAAAATTATTATGTTACAATTAATCTCGTAGACTAGTACTTAAAAACAGATGGATTCACATGACATGATCAAGTTTTTCTTCTTTGTGTCTTGTTTTGTCTTAATTACGGGCATGTGTATGAGTGAGGATGAGAGTCTCTTGCGGAAGATTCACATTATCAGTGCCAGATATGTCAACACAGCACAGAATTTCCCTTGTATGCCTACTTTAAAATATCATATGGAAATAATTAAAAAGGGTCGACATATATAAAATAACCCTTTTGTTTCAAAGACTTGAATTTGACCTTTAATAGATAAATACACTAGGAGATTAGACTTTAAAATATGGAAAAGAGGGCCCAAAAAGGCTATAAAAAGAAACAAGGTCCACCAATTTGAGGCAAAATAACATTGAATCCATAAAAGGAATCCCATTAATCCGGCAAAAGATGAGGGAACCCCAATATTTGCATTGATATTGTCCACTATTGGAAACACCCCCCCAACCCCAAAAACAAAAATAAATAAATAAATAAAAATAATAATAATAATAATAACCTTGCTCTTGCTAAACCAGTGTTTTTAAATCCCAACTGGATCTACCAGTTGAACTATCAGTCAGAAACAATCAATCCCAGCTAGACCTTAAATCCGTTTTAACTAAACCAGTATAAAATTGTTTGACCCACAGTGAAAAATGGCCATTGCTTTAGAAGTTAATTAAACTTAAAAGTTGAGAGAAACTTTAATTATATACCATGATGATAACACGTGCTACGACATTTTAACTTGATCCCATAATAATGAACCCATGAGTCATGAGTCATTAACTGGTTCTTTTTCCAGATCAACTAATGATTTGACTAGTTTAAAGAGAAATTACCACCACATTAATCTAAGGTTTTTGTTTTCAAATCTACTTCTATAACAGCTTTCACAATTATTATTCGTTTTCTTGTTATGGACTATGACCCCTCACCAACATTATTTTTGATAACATTATCATGCCACATGGAAATAGTTTCATCTGTCCCCATAAATTTAGTTGCACATAAAGGGAATGGACATCATCCATCCACCCAAATCACCAATAATCATATTAACATATTATATATATAGACTTCGAACCCAACTCATTTATGTAATACAAGTTGAAATATAAATTAATATCTCCTAAAATCTATCATTAGCAATCTATATCATTAGACTTACATAAAACCATCATCTATATCTGTAAGCAAATTAATTATATGGTTTTATTAAAGCCATAAATCACTCAACCACCCCCTAATTGAACACATTGAAAGACCTAATAGATTGCTACATTATGGACTGCCAATTATCAATGTACAGCTTAACCTCCTCCATTTACTTTAGGGTTCCAGAGTAGCTGGCTTCCTAAATTTTTATCACCATCCACTCATCCACTACACATTAACATTTAATAATGGCAATTATGTAAATTTTCCATGTGCTACTTCACGTGTCTTTCTTTATTGCCTACAAAGAATTAAGTTTTATTAATCTTCGGGGAAATTTCATGTGCAATTTAGTTGTTAATGTATATATTTTGGTACGACCATTTTGAAACCTAGTAAATAGAAAACTAAAATAAATTTTCCCTAAAAAGTCAACCCAACAGGGGTTGAACAACTCACGAGCATGCAGTTTGCATGAGCTCGCTCACACCCAATAATTGCTCAACACATCATGCAATGCAACTGGCCAAACTCTACCGTAACGGAAATGATCCGGTGTACGTCAAACTCAATAACAGAAAAAAAAAAAAAAAAACACACCCCGTAAATCATGTTCACTCAGACAACGCCAGTCAGTGGGTCCCCCACCTGACGCTCTCCCTGCCTCCGCCACGTTATCAGCCCCACATCACAACCACACCCGATCCATCACCGTCAACACTCACTACACTCTTCGTTTAATATTTATTTGAAAACATTGCAAAAATAAATAAAAATTAAATTAAATTAAATTAAAGAATGTGCCTTGCGTACCTTACGGCAGTTTCGTCGAAGCGTTTGTTAGGCTGGCGTTGTCGGAGCACGTGGAGGTCACCGCCGTGGCAAAACTCCGTTAACAAACAGAGCCATTTCTGCGAGTCTATACTCGCGTAAAGCGTTGGCAGAAAAGGATGGTCCAACTGTTCAAGTATTTCTCTCTCAGTCTTGGCTCTTCCTTCTTTGCTTCTAGAAGCAAGTTCTTTCTTGTCCATCACTTTAACCGCGAAAAGGCCGTTGTTATTGGTACTGATAGTGATACTATCATTGTTCTTTTTCAGCTCCGCCAAGTAGACGGAGCCGATGTCCCCGGAACCGAGCCGGAGAGAGAAGCGGAGGTCGGAGAGGGAGAGGGAGTGGTTGGATTTGGATTTTGACGAGAATGAGCCGCGCGCGGAGGGAGCCGGCGTGAGTGCGGCGGCGTCGGAGGAGCCGGAGCTGGTGCTGCGGTTGATTGTTGTAGTAGTAGTGTTAGTGGAGGTGAAGCTAATGCTTTGGAGATCGTCCGCTAAGTCGTCGAGCCATGGCTCCATTGGAGGAAGAGAAAGCGTTTTGAGAGAGAGAGAGAGATGGAAAGAGAGCGATTGTGAGTGAGAGAGTATCTGTTTTTGAAGGGAACGAGATGGGCCGGGTATGGATCAAGTGGGCTATAGGAAAGGTTGGATTGTGTGGAATTTTGGGAAAATAGTGGGCCGCCTTTATGTTGACATGTTACGTATTATTTTTATTAATAAAAAAACACAAATTATCATTATCGATTTTATAAGATTGAAGGGTGCGTTTGGCTTATTGTTTTTATCCATATTTTCAATCCTATTTTTCAAATGTTGTTTGGCACGTTATTCCCAAAATATTAGTCTATTTTTTTAATTACCTTGAGACCCTATAATTTTATTAATTTCATTAAATACCCCCCAGAAAAAAAGTTTAAAAACTAACAAAAACACCCCCACCCACCAATACATACCAGATTCCGGCAACCACCACCGGTAATAGCCGAAATCTATCACAATAGTCACACAGCCACCGAAAATAGCCGATAATGGCCAGATCTGGCCTTTTCCAACCAGATCCACAATGGATCTAGCCGGAAAAGGCCAGATCTACAGTCAACGATGACCAAAGATGGCTGTCGTTTTAGCCTTCTCTGGCCGTCGCAGCCACAGCAGTTCTTAGATCCACGGATCTGGCAGGAAAAGGCCATAACGACGCGTTACGGCACAAATCCGATCGGTCTGTGTCGTAACGAAATTTTTCGGCCAGATTCCGGCGGTGGTGGTGGCTGGGAATCTGGCACTGCAGGTGGTGGGGGTGTTTTTTTCATTTTATATATTAGGGTCTTTAATTAAATTAATAAACCTAAGGGCTTTTTTATAAATTTTTAAAGTTTACCTCGTAATACTCCCCTATCCAACAACCCAATACTATCCCCAAAATCCTATCCAAAATAATAAACCAAACGCATCCGAAGTTATTTGTCGATGGAATCATCTCTGCCCGTTTGTTTTTAATAATGATGAGAATTTATTAATGTTTATATTTGTTTGACCGTCTTCAAAATTCAATTCATAAATAAATAATTTCATCCAAATATTTTCCTGGTAGAAATGTCAAAACATGATTTTGTATCACTATTTTCTTAAAATCTTATTCTTGAAAAAGATGTGTATTTTTAATAAAATATATATTATGCCTAAAAATCAAGGCTGACGTAAGCTTACATCAGCAAGTACCAATCAGAGTCCAAGAAGGCTTTGCGTCGTCCAAGAGCTATCATGTCAGGCCAAAACAAAAAGAATACGGTTGTCATCAACTTAGTAGATTCATGTTTTGTCTATAAGTGACTGAGGATCGCACAGCTACCCAAGCTCCTGTTATTCTTGCTCTTCAGCAGATATCATGGAAGTAAGATCAACTTGATACTCTTCGAGGAGGTCGGAGATAACCATGTTAGGATTGTTCGACCGCAAGCTGTAAATCGCTTGCAGTGCCCAATGAGCAGCCTTCCTCTCCATCTTGAGGTCATGTTGCTTCATCTGCTCAGTCAGCGAAATGATTCACCTGTGAGCTAGTTTAAGATCTATCTACCTCGCTCTCTTCTCTTTTTTCTAAGTTTTCCCATAAGTCAGCTCGAGTCTTTTCTGTTGCCTTTTCATGCTCTAAGCTCTCTTGCAGTTCCTTTTCTGTTTGGCCCAACTCCTTAGTGAGCCTTGCTACTATTAGTTGGAGCCTTTTATTGTCGTCATCCTTCTTCTGAAGCTTAGTCTTTTGGAAGTCTACTACTCACAAAACAAAGTTCCTTTTTGTTAGATACACATTCGCCTGAATGTGGGCAGCCTTTGCCTCTTTGTCTGAAGCTGTAAGATCTTGTTCAGCTTGACGATCTCCTCCTTCATCTCATGGAGCTTGTTGGAAGAGCTGATCTTCATCTTGTTATGGGCCACATTCAGAGCGAGCAAAGATTGCAAGGAAAGGAATAAAGAGTTAGTTTTTTTCTTAAAAAGCGAAAGGTTTGACTTATATGAAAAAGTTCTCATAGAGAACAAGTCGTATTACCTGACTTTGCATCTGAAGTGCAATGGCCACAAATCAGTAGGTTGAGAGACCACATACCTGTTAGAAATTTGTAGTAAGTTGGCATTCCAAAAGGGTGTAAACCACCGGCCATAGATGGTCTGGTATTTTCCCTAAAAGATCCAACATGGACGGGTCAAGCTCGTTACGGCAAATACCTCTTCGACCTATTTCTCACTTGCTCCCTCTTGAGCGGCAATGGTTGCTCCTTATTTCCCTTGCACACTCTCAGGAGAGTCCTTCGAGGTCGTTCTCGCAGAGAAGAGTTGATATGGATGTAGCCTTTCTGGCAATATCTCGAAGCCTTTTGATTTTGACTTAGTTTCCTCTTCAGTGGGTATTATCTTTCTCTTCTTCATCTTCAAGGTTGTGGTCTTCTTCCTCGGAGGGCGAGTAGCGGCTGGCTTGGGAGCTCCTTTATGTCGCTCAGCTGGTGGTTTTCTTTCAGCGCCAATTTGTATCCCCGTTACAGGGATATTGCTGGAGGTCGCTTCAATTTGTCCAGCTGGATTAATTATGGGGAATGTGAACCCCCCAGACTTCTTAGTCGTTTTCGTAATCTTTGGTGGCAAAGCTGTTGCATGACATGTGGACATGTCAGCAAAAAGAGTCTCCTTTGGTTAAAAAGACTTAAGTTTTTCTGTATAAGAAATACTTACGAGCTAAACCGTCCAAGTATGTTTCTTGACTAAAAAACCTTTATCTCTGAAGATTTACAGTGGTCATGAGCAGCTTCGCGTCGCGCCTCTAGTCAGGAAATCAACCAAATGCTTCAATGCAGCTTTGATCAGCTAGCATTAACAATCTAATCGTTTTGTTTCCTGCAAGAAAGCAAAAGGTTTGTTAGCCTAATATGTTAAGGAAAAGTTAAAGTTAAAAGATGAACGGTCTGGAAATTAAATGGAAAACCAACTCAGTTCCTTAAATTTACAGACTTTATTGTACTTGAAGAAAAAGTACTTGTGTTCATAAGCCCCCACGTTGCTAAGGTAACCAAATATCCCTCCCTTAATTGTTGATCGCTTGGAGAGGTAGTACGAATCGTTGTCTTTACTCTTCTTTAAATAATAGGTGCAGCCGAGCTTCTCTACTATTGCTGAATGCAATATACATAGCGACCGCTATCATATATGCATTTGGCATCAGCTGGAATGGAGCGACTTAGAAGTGGTAGAGGATTGACCTGATGTAGGGGTGGAGGGGTATCCTTACTCCACATTTGAAGATCATTTCTGAGATCGCGGCCATTCCTTCGGGAGGATCCTGACCAGTATGCGACTTGTACCAATACACGTCCATGTTGATCGCTTGCTGGTCTATTGCTTTTTGAATTTAATCCTTTGTAACGGCAGATCGTATCACCTTTTTAGGACCTGTCAAGGTGCCCGGTGGTTGCGAGCTTCCCTCTCTAGCTATTCTTGCCTCAAGGATGTCCACTGTCCTTAGAGTTTGTAAAGGTGCAACATGTAAGGGTGACTCAAACTTTGCATAATCTACCTCATACGACAACTCAGAAGAGTAAAGTAACCTTGGTTTCTCTTTCATAGCCGCCAAAACCCTAAAAATTCTTAAGGATGATTTTCTAAATATCTATGCCCTAAGTTTCCACTCTTAAAAGGAGTTTCTTTCAAACACTACCCAAGAATTTTCATCATTTAAGCTTACCAGATGCCATGACCACCATTATTGTAAAAGCTAATTTTTTTGACAGAAATGAAAAAGAGAAAAAGGGAAGAAATTTCTTTACCTTTTGATTGCTGGGAATGGATGCTCTGTTGTACCATTGAGTGCGCATTAATCGGGAAAAGGATGAACTGATTTTTTGAGTGCAAAAACACTGTTTTCTCTCTAAAAATTCAAGTTCTGTGAAAAAACTTGGAAAGGGCTTAGGGTTTTATAAGGTGAAAGACGAGGCTTGGTTTCGTTTGTAAATGACGTTTGGGCGAGAATGCGCTTCCAACTGTTGATTGTACCACGTGACACCAATATGCGCAAAGAGTGACCTTCACACTTCGTGGAAATCAATCAGCGCTTCTCTTTATTGAAATTGTCAAGCGCCGACGTGATTATCTCCTCCTCATTAAATGTGGATGAGTCCACATTTAATGTTTCGAAAGGGAATGTCGTTTCAACATGGCTTGCATTTATTGCCTATGGTTGACACTTATTGCGCAAAGACACGTCTGTCAGATAAACCTTATTTTATTAACCAAGACAACTGTCAAGCGCAACGGATAATATCTGAGGAGGTCTTCCGAATAAGACATTTTTTCCACATGTCAGACTCGAACACTGAACGAGATGATTCTCAGTTTTTGATAGCAAAATGTTCTAAGTGTTTTCAGATTGTGAATGACAGATAAAGTTCGAAACACATTTTCATAGCACTGGACAGGATATGGCTCAAGTCGTTAGACATTTGTGAACGATCACATCAGGTTGCTTGTGTAATTCGCGAAATCCATGTCACGATCTACACTCAGTTCGCTGGTCGGATCAAGCCATCAGCCTCATGTCATTTGTAACAATGTGGCTGTTCTTAGCTGTTGGTTCGAGTAGACATTCCTAGAGACAAGTCAAATCGCAGCATAATCATGAGGTTCTAAAGATTCAATCCTTGAACCTTAAGAATTGGGGAGCTTCTGTTATCCCTAAACAATTACGGTTGACGTAAGCTTACATCAGCAAGCACCAATTAGAGTTCAAGAAGACTTAGCGTCGTCTAGGAGCTGCCATGTCGCCCCAAGATAGAAGGAATATGGTTGTTATCAACTTAGCAGATTCAGGTTTTTTTTATAAGTGACTAAGGACCGCACACATGTCCAAGCTCTAGATAATTTGAGGTAGAGGTGGGCATTTGGGACTGGGCCCAAAAGCCCAGCCCCAAAACCCGGTCCTTGAGAGGACCGGTCCTAAAACGGGACCAGGCTTAAGGAGGAGGGCCCTCCTCCAAGGCCCAGGCCTAGGCCCAATTTTTTTTTTTATTTTTTA